GAGATACTCAGGTCAATTTGACCCGGCTTGAAATTTTTAGAATTTGTCGTCAAAAAAATGTCCTAATGCTCATTAATTACCAGCGAAGATTTTTTCATTCCGGTGTCGGAGCTTTTTCAGGATTTTTAGGCTATGTACATTTCGTGCTTTTGCCCATCTTCAGGCTGTTGGTTGGGCTATGGGCTAACACTGCTGCGCTGTGCGCGTCAAGTAACTAGAAACAACACTAAAATGTTTTCTTGTTACTTGACGCGCAACAATCAGGCTGCTGGTGAAAGGCGCATCGAATTCTTAATCATGTTTTGCCACGTGTATGAAGGGTTTACTGCATTCCATTGGTGTTTCACCGTTCGATTATGGCTACTGAAAATCGAAAGTAACTTTTATGCGTTTCGATAGGCTTTTAATGGCTTTTTATGAGCGGATAATGGAATTTATCACTTCAGATGAAGCAATAATGTTCTCGACCTTCAAATTTGGCTCAATGAGATCGCGAAGCAACCGAGCAGTTGCAGCTATCCGAAATGAGTTGTGACTAATTTCCGCAAAAATGCCATTCGACAGATAAAATTGTGTAGTTTAAACCAGGTTGGAAGATTGCTATTTCATCATAATTTAAATGAAAAAGTTTTTTTTACTTTTTACTGAATATAACGTCTAAATTAAGTTAAGACCACGTAAAAATACTTACTTATTCTGTACTTCCTTGTCTGCAGTTTGAGCTTGTTTATTTTCCACCAGAAAATCAGGTGCTTCCTTTACTCTCACGAAACCTAATTTTATTTATCAGATATTCAATGAGAAAACTATTAAAACCGTCTGGCATTGGAAACTTTGATCAAAGCTAAGTCGGCACTGCCACTACAGCACTGCTGCATCAAGATAACTACGACTCTACCTGATCTTCTCATTTTTGTATAGGCGTCAATTGTAACTTCTTTCGAACTCGACAATTTCGACTTATTTTGATTGCCAAAAAGTGACTTCCGAGTTTAAAGGAAATTGTCATATTTACAGTGCTTAAGTGAGCTAATGAGCTATACACCAAGTATTGAGAATATCGTTTTGGCTGCGTAATAAACGCTACGTAAAAGCCTCAAAGATTCGCCAATTTTCTATTAAGGTAAGGAGCAGGGTCGGAATTGCTCGCATCTGAGGGCGTAGACCCTTAGCTGGTTAAAGGGGTGTAATGTGATATTTCCTGATGGGGCATCCCCTTCGTGGAGCGGGGTTCAGAAAATTTTGGCAAAGCAGCACAAGTTTACGCTACTTTCAGGTTCAAAGTTTGTTAATCGTACAGAGTAAAAATTGTAAAATTGAACTATTGAAGTGACCGACAGACTTCTGAAATTAAAAAAAAAAAACAAAAAAATAAAGCCATTAGACGCATCCAAGCACCATTATTTCCATAAGAACCCAGTCAATGCTGCGGTTTACACGAGCTTAAGACGTGGATCTAAAAATCCATCGTAAAAAAGAATCAGGCAAGAACCTGGAAAAAGAAGAAAGAACGAGTATCAACACAGCCGACGACAAGAAAGACGTATTCGGGCCTCTTTTTTAACTTTTCTCCCGAATCTGAGCCGCACCTCATTGGCAGCATACAGGGTGAGCGAAAAGTCCCCGACCCCCCCCCNCCCCCCCTCTAACTTTTGAACGAATTGAGCTAGGGAAATGAAACTTTGGGAATGCTCCTATCTCAAAGGGGACCATCTTTTGAGGAGGTCAAAATTTTGGTCCCCCCCTGAGGGGGGGACAGGGGCCCCCCAACTTTTTTTTTTCAAATAGCAACCCCTATCTTGTGATACCTCATTCGAAAGGGCATAAAAACTAAGAATTTTGGCGCAAACCGCAGATCAATATCTCAATTTTTGACCGAGTTATGATAGGTCAAAGGTCAAATTTGACCTATTTTCAAAAAAGCATAACTCCGGTTCAAATTATCGTAAAGAAAAAAATAAAACGGGAAAATTTACCAAATTGTGTTCGCTTTTACGTAAAAATTGCAGAAATCACTTCGATTTAATTTTAAGGGGGGGCTCGGACCCCCAAATACGTCAATTCAAAGGTCATTCAATTTTCCCGCGAAATAAGCCAATTTCCTCTGGATTTGCCTCCACATTATCACCATTATTATTAAATTTAAACGGTCAAATTTAATCACCTTAAATTTCGTTTTTTTAACTTTTCCCGGAATTTGGGGACTTGCCAACGTAATGTTGAACTGATTTTGACCTTACTGAGATAATGTGGAGGCAAATCCAGAGGAAATTGGCTTATTTCGCGGGAAAATTGAATGACCTTTGAATTGACGTATTTGGGGGTCCGAGCCCCCCCTTAAAATTAAATCGAAGTGATTTCTGCAATTTTTACGTAAAAGCGAACACAATTTGGTAAATTTTCCCGTTTTATTTTTTTCTTTGCGATAATTTGAACCGGAGTTATGATTTTTTGAAAATAGGTCAAATTTGACCTTTGACCTATCATAACTCGGTCAAAAATTGAGATATTGATCTGCGGTTTGCGCCAAAATTCTTAGTTTTTTATGCCCTTTCGAATGAGGTATCACAAGATAGGGGTTGCTATTTGAAAAAAAAAAAGTTGAGGGGCCCCTGTCCCCCCCTCAGGGGGGGACCAAAATTTTGACCCCCTCAAAAGATGGTCCCCTTTGAGATAGGAACATTCCCAAAGTTTCATTTCCCTAGCTCAATTCGTTCAAAAGTTAGAGGGGGGGTCGGGGACTTTTCGCTCACCCTGTATAGTAGGGCGATGAGAACTCACGCTTCGCGGCATCGCGCCTTCAATTTTTCAGATGCAGCACGGACGTCCATCAAGTACGAATAGTTGTATCTCTGCGCCGTCGTTAACGCGCATCCTTTCCTCGCTTTATTTCCAAGTTGTGTTTGTTTCCGTTTGTCTTATTTGTAATGTTGCTTTAAACTAGAGCAGAGCATTGCGAGTTCACGACTCACGCCATCGCAACTTACATTTTTCATATGCAATGTGAACATCCATCTTGCGAGAATAGTTGTATCGTGTTTACACTTTAGATGTCTCTAACTTTTGAATTTCGAAATAAATTAAGATTTAGGTTGCCCGAGGTATGCTACGATATGTCCAAATCAATAGTCATTTTGAAAAGGAAGAAATATGTTTAAAGGTCTCTCAAGAGGTCTATAAAGTGTGCGTATGTCTAAAAATCGAACTGGCTATCGCTTCTACGGGAGTTACACATAGAGAATGAAGGAGGGGGACGACAAAGCGCCTGTATGTTAACAAAAAGGTGACAATTTCGCAGAAAAGTGTTTACGCTTCAGAAAGGAGTTCTTAGACCTCTGTTCACCACTATGCGTAAAAGCACCTCTCTTCACTCCCAACTTTCTTTCCCTCCGTTCATTTAAGAAATCTTCCGCATATATTCTCGGTCGTAATTTTTTTTCTTATCTTATTTTGCTATCTGTCAGAGGGGCTCGTTTTCGGCGCGCCAAGGGGGCGTATCTGCCAATGGCAGATTGGCCTTATGGCCAGTCCGAGCCTGGTAAGGAGTGAGTTTTAGAATCTTTTGTAAGGGCTGACGCCATCGTAATGTCTTATTGATTTTCTGTGGAAGTTTACTTTATAAATCAGTTCTCTTGTAGATACCTTGGCTAAATTTCACCGAAGGCTGACTGGCCTCGTACAGCTGATGAATAATGCTGGTCTGAGAAAGCCAAAGTTTTCGAGCCTAAAATAATTGCGGTTCGAAACTAATTCGAAGTCATATGACAGCTATAGACTGATGTTTGTGGCAGAAAATCAATCTGCGATCTGTTAAAAGTTATACATTTTAGAAGTTTAGTGTTAGAAGTTTGTCGGGGTTAACCAATTTTACGTGAAAAAATAGATTCCTCTGAAATTTTCAGTATCACGAAATATATGTCCCCCCAATTTATACTTTTGAATCACACATACATGTTATGAAGAACAGAGAAGATGAATTTTTTTTTTTCATTTTCCGAGATTTTTTTCATAATATCCCACGGTACACATCAAAAGTCGAGAGTACTTACGCAAGCAAGAAGTATAACTATAGTGAACGTAAAGATAGGCCTACAGAACCAACTCATTGTAGCTGCAGAGGGGATGATAAAACAAAAACAAACAAAAAAATGGAACGGACCGAAATTTTAAATAAAGAGACTAAAGCAAGTACTAGAAACAAAAGCAAAATAAACACTAAAAATTTTTTAGATTTTCTTTTTCTTTAAAAAATAAACCAAAAAACTAAACAACGACGTGATTAGCAGGCCCCAATCTGCCTTTATGGAAACACAGACCGCGATTGGCACGAGGCATTCTAATCACACCTCTACTTGAATTACCGGAGTAAGTTCCCAATTAATGATGATGATTCCATTCCAGCTGCCCGCGCTGCACAGCGGTGCCTAATTGTGTTTGTAATTATTTAAAAAAAAATTTGATTCACACGAGAGACCAAAAAAAGTGTGAATAATACTGTCACGGCTTGAAAAGAACAAATACTATGAGCGGGAGAGGGTTAGAGTGAGCTGTCTCACCACTTGCCATTTTCATCCACTTCATTTTTTCACCTCCTTGTCAAAATATCATTTCCATCCAGTTTTATTTTTATTGCTATTTTTTTCTGGCAACAGCGCTTTGGGCACTGAGACGTAATTCACAGGTAGCTCATTGGATGGGTGTAATGCTTAACAGATTTTTCGGTGCACGAACACACTTCGTCCATGAAGTCAATACGCTGGCAGTGATAATGGAAAAGTTTTAAGTGAACCAAATGACAACGGACACTTTTAAACATTTTCAGACGTTCGACCGGTGACACTCGCAGCGTACAGTGTCAAGAGAGAGAAAAATGGCAAAATCCAAAGAACTTGGACGAAGCCTTTAATCAAATGGCCGATCAAAAAACTTGTGTTGATAGAAACACCAACGAAAGCAACCGGTGGTAAAACGTAAGAGAGTTTAAGAAAAGAGAGACAAAATGAAAAACTTAATCACTATGATTTATTTTACTTAACATTAAGGATTCGTCTTATTTGAGGTATCATCGGTCACATACAGGAATAAGTCAAGAGGAAAACACTTCGTTGGAGGTCACAAGTGGTAACTTAACTGGGTGACGTCTGGGGGCGATTGTCCACGTGTGCAATGGTAACTTGATGAATGATGATACTGATTGAAATATTTTAGATGAGTTTAAGCTTTGTGGTGCTTTGCGTGGTCTGGGTGATTATTGTGGCCGACAGTCTCGTGCACTTGAGTCTGAAAATGAAAATGGAGAAAATGAAAGACTACATAAGTATGAATTCACTGGAACGAGGATTCTGAGAATGCATAGAGGACAGGAGTTTTTTAGGCGCTGTCCAACCACGCCCGAAACGGAAATCTACTTTGAAAACAATCGACGTTTAAAAGAGTGATTTGAGACGTTTTAATCAATAACCGGACTAAAAGGACAGGTGCCCATAAGACCTATTCTGGCCTTGAAATTGGTCAACAATTTTAACTTCGCAATAAATGTTTCTACGAGACAAATTTTACCTTTTAATGTCATTACTTTATAAGACACCGACTAAGTTTTCAAGTTGTATTGCATGTAATAAGTGTAGGTATATTTTCGTTGAGGTAAAGGTTATATTTGATGTCCAAAGAAGGGTCCTCTCCTGTTTCTCCGCTTAAATAGCTAAAAAAGATAGTATTTTTATGCATTTGCGATAATTTAGAGTCCAAACCAAATCAAACAAGTTTAGGTGCCGGAACGGAATATCCACCATTTTAATTCTTGCATTTACTTTCAAACGTAATTGGAAAATTTGCAAGGGTCTGAAATTTGATGAATTTCGTATCTAAGTGGAATCTACTGAGTGAACTGGACACGAGGATACCCTTGATTCATAAATTGAGCAATTATTAGAGGAGGTATGACAAAATAATTGATTCTGCTAAGATACATGTGTTTAAATGGGAAATGTCGCCAGATAACGCGTCATAAGGCGACACATTTTCTCACTTTCAAATCAATTTTTCTCCAATTACCCACGTCAAAAAAACATTTTGAAAAATACCGCGAACTCAGCTCATCAGGCACTTTCAGATGAAGCAATAAAATTTTCGTGTGCAAATTCTCGACGTCACATGACCTTCTGTCGCAGTCTAAAGATGCTTAAACTTATTAAGCGTGGACTTTACCTATGAGCAAAAAGTTGCTTGTTTTTTTTCCTTTGAATGTGTCATTGAGTACATCATGATAAATAACAAATTCAAACCAAAGAAGAGGGCAACTCCTTGCTAGTAGCTAAATAATGGCAAATTATTTGAAGAATTAGCTACCATTAGGTATTTTCGAGGGAAAACATGAGAAAATCCAAAAGACACCAAATACTACCCGCAGCAATCGTAGCATGTATACAACTTCAAAACTAAACAGGATTTCATAGTAATGATATTAAAAGGTATTATTCGCCACAAGGAAACTCTTTCTAGGCACTCTGAATTTCAAGGCCAAAAAAGTCCAAAGTGGCAATATTAGTGGTGGGTGGTTATAGGGATAAGCTTAGTTAGACTTTAAATTACACGAGAGGCAACGTACCTTCCTTTTAGGTTTAGCGTCAATACTGAAATTCAGCGCAAAAGGGGAGAGCGGAAACGCGTTCGGGGTTCCCACCCTCAAAGGCCCTCCCCCTCAACCCCTCCTACCCCTAGAAAACTCTATTGTTTGTCAGGGTACAGGATTTTGTAAAATTGCTCTCCCTGAAAACAAAAGACAAATCAGGCGGGACAATTTTAAGTGAAATTTCATCAAATCGACCGCGGGACAAGGCACGAAGTTAAGCATTCTGATACGTGTTTCCTGGCCAAAATTTCACGAAGAACACGAGTTATGCAACGAAAATTACTGAAATTAACTCCTAAATAGGATATTAAACGTTTCACGCGTGAATTCAAACCTCCCGCCCATAAAAACACAAAGGTCTAGGTGGGTCAAATCGCACACTAAACTTTACCATGACAGTCTCAGCGGTATGAAAATCTTGACGCTTTTGCTCAGCTATAGCAAGTTGTTTATATTTGAACAATAAAAAGTGGGACTGGGACAATGCTTGATTGAAAAACCTGCCGAAACCGTTGTAGTGCGCGACTGGACTCACGTGTAGTATTGAGTTTCTTGTGAGCGGGCAATTCAAATTTTCCGTAACCAACGACGAAATATGAAAACTTTATTATCTTAATTATTAGTTAATTTCAGTAATTTTCGATGCAAGAATCGTGTTTTACGTGAAATTAGGATTACGAAACATGTATCAGAATGCTTCAATTCGTACCTTGCCCAGTGGTCCATTGGTGCTTGCTGGTGGAATAGATTGATTAACGCCTCCTTCATCAAATCAGTAGTGGCAAAAAATAATTTTTTTTTTTGTTTGTTTCATTTTTAGATGCACTTACTTAATGCAAATTTTTTTATCAGAATCCCCCGACTAAAGCCTCTAAAATACTTAATTCTAGGTTGCTGCCAGGAAATATTTAAAAAGTTATGATTTTCCTTCTGTGTTCTTTGGTTTGTGTTTCGTATGATATTGATTTCTTCCTTAAACCTTGAGAATGTCGCAGGCAAATAGTAAAACCGGGCATTTTGTCAAATGCCGAAGGCGCATAATCAAATATTCTTACTTGAAATTCTGATTATTTACCTAATATAAGACAAAACAATTCATTGCTCCTATAAGAAGGAATTATTCTTAAAAATATGCATACTACAATAGCATTTTAAACGATATTCGGCTCCTGAACGAACATTTATCTTGAAATTTTCAAACTGTCATAGAACTCAGAGTGTTTTAAAATTTAAATATTTAAAACGCACTCGAAGAGGAACAAAGAAGACAAAATTGTGGGTCCGATGAGTTATTTTTTCAAAAAAATTGAAAATTCGTGAGATCTTCGCATTAAATTTACGACTTTTCGTAAACTGTCAAACTTTAACTATCTACCTAGGCATTTGATAAAATGCCTAATTTGACTAATTGCCTGCGACAGGAACATAACTATGTAATTTCACTTACAGCGAATGAATTTGCAGCCTTGACAGCGCTGTCAATAATGTTCTGGGCAGCCTTTGTCAAACTTTCTTGCGCATGGGGTGCTTCCTTTTCCAGGGCAGCTCTCAACTTGTTTCCTTCCTCGACGATGCTGCTGAGTGACTTGGTGAAGACCTTCTCGACATCCGTCGACTGAAGTTCTGGCACCTTCTTGGCCAACTCAGTCGCCGTCTTGTTCACTTCGGAATAAAACTTTTGGAAAGCGGCAGCTGCTGCTTTGGCATTTGGATCAACCTGCAAAAAGAGCAGAACAGAGGTTAGAAACTTAGTAAAGTGCTTCCTAATTTTACAAAACATGGAAAACGGGCAATTTTTCGTGCACTGAGAAAACTCTGGTGCTTTTTAGGGGGAAAAATGGACGGAGAGAAAAAAAATCTGTAGATTAATTTTTTTCCCTCATTTTCGGGAAATCTTACCCGATGGCTGACACGCTCGACAATATACCTCAATTACCTCTATTTAACCAAATTTAAAAAATCAGCTCGCCGTTACTTGCACAGAACAGACAGAGAAAAATAAATAATGGTTTCCCCGAAAACGACGAGCCCCCCACCCATGGCGCCATTCTAGAATCCAACCTGAGAATCATATCAGCACCCCAGAGTTTTTGAAAAAATCGAGTCCGTGTCGTTTTGAAATCCTCCAATAACTGTTCCGTGGGTGTGGAAAATTTGGTAGCGCTAGATTTCACACCGGTTGTGCGGTAAGGGCTTTCAAAAATTGCGATTTACATCGAAATCAAAGAGACTGGAATGCGTTTTTCTCCTAATAACTCGAAACGTCAAAAATAGAGCTAAGCGCCTTTTGACTTTTGAGTACTGATATCATTACCGGTTGCTATACGCAATAAAGCTTCGTTATCCGTTGTCAGTAGCGATTTTGTAAATTGGTAACATTGTTTTTCCTCCATTCAAATCCGTAGAAAATATCGATTTTCGATGAGACAGGCTGCCTCATCAAGAATCGATTGTTTTGCATACATTTAAATGGTGGAAAACGGTGTTGCCAACTTTCAAGAATCGCTACTGTCCGTAGTAATCCTTGTGGCTAAAAATCCTTAAGGTTCAAAAAGCTACTATGAATACCGGCCCTCTTATTGGGCGGGTGGACCCCCGAGACCACCCCCAAGAGGAACCGAAATTTCGGGGATCTAAAGTTTGAGCATGAAAAAGGCAGGTTAAGGCGGGTACGATATTCTTTGAATGGGTAGGAATAGTTGCCAGGATTATTTTTCACTTATCAAACAACTATCAATCTAAGATATTTATTTAAACAATTTTTTTAGATTTGATTAAATAATATTATCAAAATAGAGCCTTACATATTGCCCAATAATAAACTATTGAGTTTTAAATCAGTTTACTCCATTAATCTCGAATGCTGATAGATTTTTTTTTTTTGTGATGAGGGGAAAAATTCGCTACAGTGCCCCCATCATGAGGGTCGCCAAATACCGGGACGGCAACGACCATCAGCTGGTGAAGAGCCGCCGAAGCGACCCCTAACCGACCCGAAATGCTGATAGATTATGGGGTAAAATTTACCATCAGTGGGGTCGCATTCAGAGACAGGGGTTAAAAAACACCGTGCCTTAAACATCGAAAATAATCCTTTCGGCTTTCCCTACCCATTCAGAAAAAAACCTTATGATAGACTTTGTAACTAACGGTTTGAACTATTTCTTTTTGTATGAGATAGATAACAGACAAAATAAAATGGCATATTTGAAAAAGCGGCTGAAAAAAATATGCTGGTTGAATCATCGTTGATTTCCACGCTCTCCTCATGAGTGAGGGCAATGAACTCTCTGATATCATATCCGCACGGAAGCGAAGATTAAAGAACATTCGTACAGATGGATACAATCATAAGATGACGTGACGTAATCTTACCGAACAAATTTATTTAATGCGCAAATCGAGAGGGCATTGCCCTCAGATCTTGGAACGATTTCGATTTGTGGGTGTTCCTATTTTTTAAAGACAGCTCAAATGGATAATAATGAGCATTATGCATGGAACTACATACGAAAGCTAGTTACTGAGTTAGTAGTCTGTCATGCGGAAGTAAGGAGGAAAAATTGTGGAACCTATCTTTTTTAATGACCAATACAAAGGCTGCGCAGTCTTGCACTATATTAAAGTGGATGAAAAAAAAACCCAAGCAAAAGTATAAGGCAGAAAAAAAGAACCCAGCGTACTTATAGATCGTGGATTAAGATACTTAAGTTATTAGTAGCGTATTAGCCGTTTTTTATTAATTTTTGAGTGTGCCCAAGGTGGAAATCCTGAAAAGCAGGCCTTGTCCACACGAGTGCATTTTGAACGGAATAAGTTCCGCGAACTAGGGGTTCAAGGAGCAAGTTATGGGTGAGTTATAACAAGTTCCTGGAACAAGTTCGCCTGTAGTTCCTCAAACCGCGCTCAAGTGGTCAAGGAATGCCTTGCTAAGGAGGAAAAGCCGTTTTAACATTCGAGGGTTGTAACATTTCCTCCGATAAATTGTTTATTTTTGAGGAAACAAATGAATATTCTTCCTTGAAATTGTTGAGAACTTTCGGTAAAATTAGGTTAAAAAATTACCTGAAAAATTCAAAGGAAAGCATTCATGAGTTTCTTCTAAAATCCGTGTTTTATCAGAAGAAATTTGGCAACGTCTGATGGTTCATACGGCGTTTTTTCCTTAGCGCGGTAGTGCCCGGAGAAAAAAAGAACCGCGCTGAGCACCAACTTTGCTTCGGCTTCCATCGGATGTGGTGAAGTGCAGGAAAACACATCGCCTAGTAGAGGAAGTATGTTTGAAAACACAGGAGGAATGTACTGAAGACATTCGCCGGCTTACCCAAGTGCGAATTGGAAAGTTGAAGCAAAATCATCATCCACCGCATGTGCTGAGGTGCAGATTCTGGTGCTCAGCGCAGTTCTATTTTTCTTGTATAGAAAGCACCCCCCCCCCCCAAATAAGGCGTTTAGGCGTCGCAGAGCGCCGGAGAGCGCTGTAAGAGCGACTCTTATGTATGTATAGAAAGCACCCCCCAAGCCCCAAACCCCAGGGGATGCGGACTGAGCCGCGGGCCACGGTCGGGGCTGATTACCTTCTTCCTGAATTCATCGTAGGCCTTGACGCCCTGCTGGACGAGGTTGGCGGTGGTGTTGATAAGCATGTTGCGGAACTGCTTGAGCTCGATCCGTCCGAGGATCTGCTTCTCATACTCGAGCTGCTCCTGGATCTTGGCCACGTAGCCGTCCACGGTGGCCAGGAGGAGCTCTGCCCCGACCGTGGCGTTGTACTTGCTCAGGTCCTTCTTAATGTCCATCATCGACTGCGACAAATTCCGGAAAAGCGACTCGCTCCGCGTAAAGGTCGGCGTCAACGCCTACAAGCACACAAACAAGCCATGAACCGCCATGCACGTGCAAGTCCAGCCCCAGACCGCCCACCAACCCAAACCTGCTCCTTTTTTCTGGGGGGAGGGGGAAGGTTGAGGGGGAGGGTTGCCGGGGAGGGTTGACGGGGAGGGTTG